AAGTGGATGAGACATACCCCATTTTCTCTGAAAGAACAGAGATAAGGTACAGGATATTCATCCGAGCCGCTGACCGGATTCCGAATTTGTCCATATGAAAAAAATAAAACGGAGAAAAAGTGGTAGATGTTGTGGCGAAGCCGCTGCCTCGATGTTTGCTCCGATTTTATTTGTTCCGATAGTCTCTGTCATGAGACGCTGCACTCTTTTCGGATGGAAGACACTTATTACATACAAAGTGGCAGAATTAAAGGTTTCCCATTCACAAGACCCCACCGCAAGTTTCGGATCAAAAGAGAGCGTGTGATAGCCAAAAATAACAACAAACACTCACTTTTTCCTGCGCGTCTGTATGTGCGTGTGTGAAAAAAAAACTAAGTCTCTTTATTCGTTGCCTTGACCTGTTTCAGCGATGTCTCCTCCAACAGGCAGCCAACTAACTCCTGAAATGAAAACAGAGCAATTTCGTCGTGTGCCCGAGACCGGTTGCGGAGAAAGCCTTTTCTCTTATAAACTGGCACGCGAGGAGCAACAGGAGAAAAGGCATCTGTCATATTTGGGTTCATTTCCCCAGAACTGCAGACAGAGAAAGCACGAGATTGCCAGGCACGAAGAAGTGTGACTCGGATAGTTTTAAACAGCCCTTGTAATTTCATCTCCAGTTTATCGTCTCCATGTGGGGTATCCTGCCCAAGACCACCACACCTGTGGATCGTTTCCTTCTGCAGTTCCCATTCTATGCTCGAAAGGAGCCTTTTTCGTGACGGTGCATCGGTGGAAGAATCAAATGTAGCGTGGCCAAAGGGCAAACGGATAAATAGGAAGCGCCGTCTTTGCGAGGCTTCTACTCCTGCATGTTTGGCAATCCAGGCGGTTGCGTCGCCCCATGGCATTCCTGTGTATGAAGCAAGCCAGTTTAATAACATTGGTGGAAGCACTGCGTCCTCCCCACACTTCTCCAGTGATAGGCTGAGATTGCGAACCGCCGCAAGGACGCTTTCCGTGATCGCCTCTGCAACGGTTGAAGAAGTAAAAGAGAAATTTAAGGATTCCTCCCACTGTACAAGCGCCCGCATCGTCCAAAAGAGCCACACAACAAGTGTCTGTTCATCACAGAGAGAAGAGGGTATTTCTGAGAGCAGGCGCAGCCACTGCAATGCGGTGTCCGCTTCTGCACCTTCGCGTGCCGCCTTG